GCCCGCCCTGCTGGAAGCGGAGCCCGGTCGGCCGCAGCTCCCTGGGCAGCGTGTGGGAGAGAGGAGCCAGCCCTGATCCTCAGGGATGGGCAGCGAGGACTGGGCAGCCCCAGGCTGCCCTTGGGCTGAAGAGCCCTGAGTTCCGCAGGCCAGGCAGTGAGGCGACTTCAAAATGGCATAGGCGAGGGATGATGGAAGTGAAAGCAAACCCTCATTAAACGATTCATTAGAAAATCTATCTGTCTCTCAATCTGCGTCCCTGTCTGTCTGCTGTCTGTCTGCTACCTCCGCCACAATTACATATTGACTGGACAGGGCTGTCTAGTATCTCAGGATTCATCTACTTACTCTTCTTTCTATTATTTAGTACGTTGCTTGTGAAAGAGACGGTGCTTTTGAAGAGGCGAAAAGTGAATGACCCAAATTGAGGGGGGAGGGAGGGGGAGATATAAAAATGATCGCCCAAATATAAACACATCAATAAACAGGGTGCGCAGCATCCTGCAAGGATCCATTTGAACTGCTCGCGTCTGGATTCTTTCTGTGGCATGTGTCTGGCTTTATATTTTAAACGGTAATCAGAGCTCGGGAAGAATCCAGCGTTAACTAAAGCATTAGGAGCTGCAACCGCACAATCAATCCTCCCGGAGTGGCATTGCTCCCTGAGAGATTCTTCAGCTCAGCAGCGAGCGTTTTATCTTCAGGAAATTTAAGCCCAGCCTGGCGTCGTGGCGGTGATGTTAGGCTGGAAGCAGCCCCCTTTCCTCGGTAGCTTAACGCGAGAGGCACCAGGCCCCTTTACGGTTTCCAATGATCCGTGATAAACAATAACACGTCTTTTATTTCTTAAAAAACGAGACAATCAAATGAAATGAGCAGAGCCCGGGCATAAAACACCGGGCGAGCCGTGGCTTTATTAATTTCGTGAGACGCATAGGCTGTGGCGGGAGGTGAGCAGGCGTTGCTGCAGGGAAGCCCAACCGCGGGGAGAGAGGAGTGACAGTAAAAGCTTCATCTGGACACCGCTTCAGCCTAGGTATAATAAACATCAGGACCGCCGGGCTAGTTTATAGCGGTGCGTGTGATAAGAAGGGAGCAAAACTTGGAGCCAGTACTAGCAAAGCCCGGCTCCTTCCCCTTCCCGGGAGCGCGGCTCCCGCCCAGGCGCAAGCACTCGCCCATGTGGGCGAAGCGTGCGCGCCTGGGTATATGGAAATCCATATTACTGCATTAATATACATCTATCTCCCAAATTCAGAGGTCGACCTGAGAGCAGCTCGGTGCATACGAAACCAGACGGGGAGGGGTTGCTGGGGAGGCC